ATAAGGGATAAACTGACAACTTAAGGAAAGAAGAAGGGCGAAAGAGATATACCTGATTTCGGGATGTTACACAATCTTAGGCTAAAAGATTCAATCCCACAACAGTTGGAATAAGACAAGAGTTAGATAGCAGGACCAAACCCTTCCCCCTAAGATTCTTTAAACCATGTAGCATGTGACTTAGCGTATCCACTCAATAGTCAGATCACACTCGAAAGAGCCACACAATAGCTAAACAAGGGAACTCTATAGTAACTAAGGCATCACATAATCATGTAATTATCTCATGTAATTCCTGAAGATCCCTAGCCTATCACTAGCATGTTGTTCTAACATAACATAACATAATCTCAAATAATTGTGTGGTATTTTCGGGTCAACTTACTAGCTCCGGCTGATCGTACACATCGCATCTTCCTTAATTATTTTGAAAACCATTTGAAAATTGTTTTAAAAACCTTTTTCCTTAGTTTGAGATTGGATTCACACAAGTGTTCCTCCAATTTACTCAAACCAAGGCTCTGATACCAACTTGTAACATTCAACAAAATTCATAAGATTTAAACTTTTCAAAACAACTTTTTTTTAAAAGAAATGCTTACAAAAACCATTGTTCCCAAAACATTATTTAAAAATTAGAATCACTTTTAACATATTTTTCAAAATATTCACATTATCAGAGTTTCCAAGAAATAATAAGTCCAAAATGCGAGGATGTGTACGATTGTGGCTTCACCTTGACAAGATCCACTGAAGTACCTGTAAACATAAACCATACTGTAAGCACGAAGCTTAGTGAGTTCCCCTAAAGTACAAACACCCAACAAATAACATATACACATAACAACATGCATACAGAGCCTTCAACATGTATGGACTGCCTCACTAGGCCTTCAGCATCTCTGGACTACCTCACCGGGCCTTCATCCCAACTGTTCCATCTCACAGGCCTTCACTCTATTCGGGCCTCCCTAGGTCTGTTAGTCTTCAGCACAACGTAGGTCCACCTCAACCCAACCACACACACAAACCATGTCGACATATACATAATAGATAAGCATACATATAATGTATCGATCTACACATTATCAGGTTTATTGACTGGCAGCACAAAGTAGTACAGTCTCAACCCAACCACACTACATCAACACATGCTACAGGAAAACATATAGCCATAACAGATAACAGGAAGATCTAACAAGCATAGCATCATCCTATTTACCAGGATACAGATATAGTAATCACCACAGTACTCAATCATACGATAGACCATGATAACAATCCAAAGGGCTGGCATTAGTGCCTTCGACACGCAAGTATAATGAGGAAAATTCATCTTGAATGTAGAAGCTCCCTGAAAGAAATCCCTAGCTGCTGCCCTGCCAGCTTCCCAAGCTATCAATACCAACAATACACCCAATTAGCAATTAGGTTCCAAGCTATAATCCATAATCGTTACTTAAGGTAAAGTGACCATTTTACCTCTAACCCAACATGAACCAAAACTGAAGCCCAAAACCAAAAGATCCACAAAGGCCCACTAATGGCCAAATTTTCCAAATTGAGCCCAACCCTATATAGGCCTTATCCTAAGCCCATAATGTTCCTTATTATAATTCAGATTACCTCAAGTACCCCTTAGGACAAACTTGTTCAAAGACATAAATCGAAAGTCAAAGTCAATGATCCAATTTGACCCAACTCGCTGAGTTGTCCTTCAACTCATCGAGTTTCTCCATCAACTGCACAAATCGGGAAAAAACCAAGTCAACTTTCCGAGTTAACCAACAAACTCGTCGAGTTTCTTTATCAATTTGAAAATGTCGAGGAAAACCAAGCCAACTCGCCGAGTTCGCCAGAAACCCACATCTTAAAATATTAAGCACTTAATCCATAAGGACATGATTCCAAAACATAGATCTGACTTCCTTGAGCTGTAAAGCCACGTAAAGTTACCAACTTTACGTTCATGCATGTCTCAATAAAGCTCTTAAACTTAGAACGGACTTAATAATTGACTTAATGCATGCATGACACCAAAATCCGCATAAAGTTTGCACTTTTAAGCTCAACCAAAACCAACTCATATTTGAAAGAACAACCCTTAAATGACTTCACTCCATCACCATCCCCAAAAGAGGCCAAAACACAAGAAAACTCGAAAATGAGGAGATCTAATCATCTACAAATCAAGGTATGAACTTGATACCTTAAAGTGACTACAAGAAATGGAGTGATTCTAGATCCAAGACTTCCTTCTCCAAGCTAGAAACTTAAAGATCTTCTAATTCCTTCACAATGCACAAAATGAATACCAAACTCCATTCCAAGGCTTAAAAACTTAAAAATGGAGGCTACAACGCGTTTTAAGGTTTTGATAACAATGGAGGCTGATAAGAAGGCTAGAAAAAGGACTTAAGGCCATTAAATAGGGTGCAAGACCCTAAAAAATTAGGGTTTCCTTCCCAGTTGCCAACTCGCTATGTTGAGGCATCTCAACTCGTCAATTTGGTTCATTAAACACTCTCGATCCTTCCATCTTGAACATATCGAGTTAATCCCTCCAACTCGCCGAGCTCATCTTGAAATAGGTTTATTCTCAACAATTTCTTCTCGAAATTTTGGGTGTTAAACCTGTGCATATATCCTTATATGATAGGTTGTTGTAGTAGTGGTATACTGGTATTCTCTAGTGGAGTGCCCTAAGGGTTTTGTGTAGTTAGGTAGGATAGCCTAAGAACTCCTGATCTAGGCTTTTGTGTGTGTTCCTTGTTTGGTCATAGCTCTAGATTACCTATGGTTACGCATTTCATGGAGGTTAGCTGGTAGCAATATAGTATGTTGTAAAAGGACTAGCAGGCGGTATTGAGCTATATGATTGATGTTTTCGTGTATTATGTACCTACTTGATCCTTGATTGCTTATATCTTGACATATGGTGGTAGTGGGTTAAGGCGATCCTGCTTTGTGCTAAAGGCCAAGACACCCAGGGCGGTCCGTATAGGCCGAAGGCCCGGAGAGCGATCCAGATAAGCTGAAGGCCTAGTGAGGCGTTCTACTAATGTTGAAGGCTCTAAGAGCGGTTCAGATAGTTTGTAGGCATGCGAGGTGGTCCAGTCATGCTGAAGGCTCATGTATGCATGTTGTTGTATGTATTCTTATTGTATGTTGTATTTTAGGGGAACTCAGTAAGCTTTGTGCATACCTAGTTGTTTATGTTTTCAGGTTTTATCGGTGATTGTGAAAAGGCGGAGGTAGGACTGTACACACTCATCAACAAAATGATGATTCTGTGGTTCTTATATTACTATGGTTTTTAGTAAATGTATTTTAGAATAAACGATTTTCTTAATAATGAATTTATAAATGGGAAGTTATATTGTAATAAAATGAAAAAATTTTGTTGTGAAAATGGAACCTTACATCATTGTTGTGGCTATTCTCTTATTTTTGTTTGTTTTTTTTATAAGGTAAGTATTTGCTACAAGTTCAAATTCAAGTTAATAGTGATGTTTTTTTTTGTAACGAACAATGTTAGAGTTTTTATCTTAAAAAACATTGTATGTATAATATTTGAGCTTTTGCACCTTAAAAAACATTGTATGTATAATTTTAGTTTAATTGAAGATTGCTAAATTTTTATATTCAAAATTGTTTTTATAATTAGTATAAATAACATCAAAGCATCTATGATAAACATATATTTAAAAATAGTAAATAATTTGTAATAAAAAAACTGATATTAAAAAAAGATAGTAAAAAACTAAAATAAAAGAAAAAAGCAATGATATTTAAAATAAATAAATATATAAATAACCTAAGTAATATTTTTAAAACTATACTAAATCGTTAAACACTTTTTTGAATAACAATAACTCTATTTTATTCAAAAACTTATTTTTCTTAGGCAGTGGAAATTTTTCTGCCACTATTGAGCCTTTTTGGATGGTATCCTTTTGGAAACCAATTAACCATGTTAATGGATACGTCGGATTAGTTTTCTAGTAGCTCCTGGCGTGTTTGGTACAGAATTTATGGGAGTTTCTATCTTTTAGCTTTTGAGAAAACACTATTTTAAACAAAAAGTTTTGTTTGATAGTACGAACGTTTAACTTTAGTTTAAACAAAACGCTTCAAATCCAAAAACTACTTCATATAGTGTTTAACAAAACGCTACTGAGCTTTTGAAATCAATTTCAATAATTATCGTTAAAAATATATTTATATATTAATTTATTTTTAATCAATTATCCTTTTATATAATTTTATATATTTAAAAAAGCTTCCAGTTATTTTTGCCACACTCATATAACAAATAAAAGTTACAGCTTCCCGCTACTCACTACCAGCTATCCAGTATCCACTTCCAGCTAACACCTATTTTTGCCATCGCCCAAATAAAAAAAGAGAAAATGGAATTACGATGATTCGAGTGGGTCAAATATTTTTTTAGACCAAGTCAAACTGAGGTTTCAAGTCAACTGCCAAAAAATTATTCATAACCAACGAAGATATCCATATCCATGTAATTTCTTGGTAGCTTGTCGACATATGACAATTTTGTAATATTATGTGAAGTATTTGTAACCATTAAATGACGCGATGGAGTATATTTGAATTCATGACATGTGATCCAATTTGAAAGTCTCTGACCTGAAATGAAAGTTCATTGATGAAGCATTAGGATGGTAAATAAAAAAATGGAGTATTATATCTTCACTTCTAATTATTAATATTGGCAACTTCCTAACTCTTGTAGAAAAATTATCACGACAATATCAACGGATTACGAAGTCTTGTAAAAAAAATTAGGTAATTTCTTATTTAAAATATTCTTTTCCTATCCATGGATTTTAGATATTATCATTTGGACGTATTTGAACCAAAGAAAGCCTAATATTTGCTGGGACCTAGAGATTGGCTTGACTCCTTCAAGATTCAATTTTCCGGTTCTGATATATCATTGTCAACTAATTATCATCCGTTCATAAAGAAATCAAGTGCAAGATCAATGCTACTGTCAGTTGTAATACTTTATTAGTATAGTTTATGGTTCATGCACGTTATATGCATATAATATAGCTGAGTACAAGTAGTTCGGAAGAAGCACATATCTGCAAAGATGGTGATGGTTGAGCAGAAGAAGATCAGCCTTTCCCTTCTAATACTCTTTTGCTGTTTAAACCATGAATTAGGTGCACACGTACTTCCATCAGAAAGCAAAAACATCAAAGTAAATGGAGATATGTCAATAGACATGGGGATTATTCTAGATATGGAGTCATGGATAGGGAAGTCTATTCACAGGTGCATTACCATGGCCATAGATGACTTTTATGCTCTTAATCACAGTTACAAAACAAGGATAGTTGTTCACACTAGGAACTCCAAAGGAGATCTGGTAAACGCTATGTCAGCTGGTAGGCTCACTTATTTATTTTCTTGAAGAGCAAAATATAGAAAAAGTACAACCTACCATACTATATTTGAAAAAAAAAACAAAAACTCATATTATTTTCTTGTTCATAAAAGGCACGTTATTTATTACCACTCGACTTATCCAAATTTCTGGTAAAAAACATATTAATCCGTGTCATCATCTTATAATCTATCAAGAGCTAAAACTCGTTATGAATATTATGTGGCTGATAATATGGCTAATGATCGAGTTTTACCCAGCGGCAGATCTACATGCAACCAAGCTAGTGGGGTCCATGGCCCCACTTGACTCTCACCACTAATGTATACTACACAATAATATGGATTAAAATCAAAAATCTATTAATCTATTTCAACACATTTCAAGCTTCATAAACCTTAAATTTCCGTTCAATTGATACTTCTAGAACAAAGATTCTCCCTTTAACTGTTTAGATTCTTTTAGGATTTTATAATTTTATTATTGTTTGTATTCATTAGATTTTTTTTAGGATTTAATAATTTTTGTTAGTGTGTTGAAATTTTTTTTTAATGTACATGGACCCCACTTGATTTTATTTCTAGATCAGCCACTCATTTTACATCTAAGAGGTTAAAGGATGTCATCGCCCACTTCACATTTAATTACCAGATCACTTAAATGAATCCGATTAATTAACAGGTTTTTACCGACAATTTGGATAAATTAACTAGATGGGTAAAAAATAATGTCTTTTTTAAATAATATAGGGTTTTTTTCGTACGTATATATAAATACATAACAGGTTGTGTTTTTATGCATTTTCCCTTTCCTTCGACTCTTACTTTGAAACAGTTTATATGTTCAGATAACTAATTTGTCTTCAAATTTTTTTTTTATGCTTGCTTGAGCAGTAGATGACCTTCTCAAAAACGTGAAGGTGCAAGCCATCATAGGCCCAGAAACACATCTTCAGTCGAAGCTATTATCAGTGTTTGCTAATAAAGCTAAAGTTCCTATATTTTCTTTTGCTGGTTCGTCCTCAATGGAATACCCTTACCTGTTCCAAATCAAAGAAGACGAATGCACTATGGCCAAAAGCATTGCTGCCCTTGTGGAATCATATAAATGGAGCAATGTTATCTTTGTTCATGAAGACAATGACGATGGGAGGGAGATCTTACCATATTTAGCTGAGTCATTCCAAGAAAAAAACATCCAGATAAGTTATAGAAGTGCCATTTCAGCGTCTGCCACGCTTGATGACATCACTAAAGAGTTGAAAAAGTTCATGACTTTTCACACAACTATAATCATTGTACATATGTCACCTTCACTAGCATCTAAACTTTTCCTAAAAGCAAAAAGTTTACAAATGGTTAGCGAAGAATATGGGTGGGTTTTAACTGAAAAGACAGTTGATCTCTTTCGATCAACAAACTTTGAAGTTATTGAGTCATTACAAGGGGCGCTAGGTTTTCGGTCTTATGTTCCCGCATCCAGCAGACTATATAACTTAACAACAAGATGGCATAATTTCTTTTACAAGAAGTACCCTACCTTGGTAACAAAAGAAGTTCCTGTTTCTGCCATATGGGCATATGACACCATTTGGGCACTTGCCTTGTCTGTTGAGAAGGTTGAGGTTGGAGTCCCACATATTAATGGTGGGACTTTGCTCTTACATGAGGTTTTGAAAACAAGATTTAAGGGTATAAGCGGTGAGTTTGATCTGAGTGAAAGAAAAATAAGATCCAATGGATATGAGATTATGAATGCCATCGACTATGGTGAGAGGAGAGTAGGATATTGGACACATTCACAAGGGATCAGGAGCAACATCCATCTCTATTCTAGTTTAGGTACCGAAGCTACAACTGCTCCAAAACGTCGGATTTTAAGTACAGCTCCGAATAAAAGATTAAAAATTGGTGTTTCGAAGATAAGAAACTTTAAGAACTTCATTGATGTAGATTTTGATGCTGAGAAAAATGTTACAACTGCTGTTGGGTTCTCCGTAGATGTATTCAAGACATGCATTGGTTTGTTACCATATGAAGTGCCCTACGTATTCATTTCATTTGAGAATGCCACTTATGATGACCTCGTACAGAAGGTCTATGCTGAGGTATATTTGTTGTTTACTTTAAATTTAACACTAACCAATTGATTTACTTAGAGAGACATCCAATTTTTGTAGTCTATGGCTTTGCTTCCGGACAGGAAATTGATGCAGTTGTGGGTGATTCAACAATCTTGGCGAACAGATCTGAGTATGTTGACTTTACAGCGACTTACACGGATTTGGGTGTAGGAACACTAGTAAGAATCAAGAAACAAGACTTGTGGTTTTTCTTGAAGCCTCTTGATATTGGTCTATGGCTAGCTGCTATGGCTTCTCTTATTCTAACTGGCTTCGTTGTTTGGGCTATTGAAAGTATGAATCAAGAAACCGAATGTTCACCGGCTCATCGACTTGGAACAATCTTCTGGCACATCCTGTTGACCATCTTTTTTGCTCAAAGTTGTCTCTCTTTCTCGCTAAGATCACTCTATATACCCTCTGAATTAGAATTTAATCAAAATCTAAGAGTGGGTATGTTGCATTTGTATTGTAGGAGAGAAGTTGTCGAGCAATCTGTCAAGATTTGTAATGTTTATCTGGTTACTCATTTTGCTTATCTTGATCACGAGCTACACAGCAACGTTGACTTCACTGTTGACAGTAGAGCAATTTGAATTAGCTTCAAAGGGTGGAATTGTGGGGTTTCATGGAGGCTCTTTTATAGGAGGAGTCACGGTTAGGAACATGCACTTTGAAGGTCATCAGAAGAGGGCATACTACTCATATGAGGATTATGCTCATGCTTTATCGAAAGACGGTGAAGCTGATGCCATTGTTGATGAAATTCCATACATCAAGATGTTTCTTAGCAAGTACCCTGGTGACTATGCCTTGGTCTCTTCTGAACCTATCACTTCAGGTTTTGCCTTTGTAAGTACTATACCCCTTCATCTTCATCATCTGCACTAATTTACGTACATACAGATCTATCTTATGGGGTGATTCATGCATCCACTAGTTAGGTTATTCTTTCATGTAATGATTTTGAGTCATGGAAATAGATATTTGGAAATGCAACGGAAAGTTTCCATGAACAGTTAATATGGTAAAATTGTATCCCGTACTTTCATTGAATAAGGATCCCATATATATAGGAGGTACATATACAAATAATTAGGAAAGGATATATACAATAATAAAATAATCTCCTAAATGCATAGCAATATTCTAATAAGCTAATAGTCCCCCGCAGTTTGAGCGGGGGGAGGACGAACGCTCAAACTGGATCTGAATTGTTGGTACAAGTAACGTGGCAAGCCTTTGGTAAATATGTCCGCATATTGCATAGAAAAAGGAATGTGAAGAATACGGACTTGACCGAGGCGGACCTTCTCACGCACGAAGTGTATGTCGATTTCCACATGCTTTGTGTGCTGATGTTGAACTGGATTTTGAGACAGATAAACCGCAAAAACATTATCATATCACAATAGACTATCGTCGCCTTGCGAAGAGGAAAATGCAACTCAAGTAACAAATTCTGTAACCATGTGGTCTCTGAGACAGCATTTGCAACTCCTCGATACTCTGCTTCCGCGCTAGATTGGGAGATCGTAGGTTGTCGTTTAGATGACCAAGAGACTAGATTGTGGCCAAGGAATACACAATAGCCAGAGGTAGATTTGCGAGAGTCAGGGCATCCACCCCAATCAGCATCAGAGTAAGCAGTCAAAGTGTGTGATGGGGAAGCAACCAACTGAAGACCATAGTTAATGGTGCCCTTTAGATACCGAAAAATCTTCTTCATGAACTGAAAGTGGGGCTCTCTCGGGGCATGCATGAATAAACAAACTTGCTGAACAGCATATGTAATATTCGGGCGAGTGAATGTTAAGTACTGTAGAGCTCCAGCAAGAGTCCTGTATAAGGTGCCATCAGCAAGAAGTTCACCATCCGTGGCACTAAGTTTAGTGGATATGTCTACCGGGTAGGGCAAGGCTTGCAAGAATCCATAGAAGCTCGTTGAAGAATGTCACGAGTATAAGATGCTTGCGACAAGAACAAACTATGCTGATCACGTGTGGCCGTGATACCAAGAAAATGGTGAAGGGCCCCTAAATCAGTCATTGCAAACTCCTGAGACAAAGAGGTGATAATATTGTGCAAAAAAAAAAATCAGGGGCCGTCAAGATAATGTCATCAGCATAGAGTATAACTAGGCACGGTGTCGAGCATGCTGATATATGAATAGTGAAGAATCACATATGCTGCTCCGGAAGCCACGTGAGGTGATGAAAGTGGCAAATCTAGTATACCAGGCACGAGGGGCCTGTTTAAGTCCATATAGAGATTTCCTGAGATGGCATACATGAGAAGGAAACCGGGCATCAACAAATCATGGAGGTTGGTGCATAAAAACAGTCTCATGAAGATCACCATGAAGAAAGGTGTTCTTAACATCTAACTGGTGGATCCGCCATGCTTGGGACATAGTGATACTAAGAACGGTCCGAATAGTAGCCGGTTTCACAACTGGACTAAATGTCTCGTGGCAATCAATCCCTACCGTTTGGGATTTCCCATTAACAACCAATCGTGCTTTATATCTGTCAAGCGAACCGTCTACTTTAAACTTGTGGCGGAACAGCCGCATACAACGAATAACAGGACTATTAGATGGGAAAGGGACAAGATCCCATGCTTCATTTGCCTGTAACGCTCTAAATTCATCTTCCATGGCTAGTAACCAATTAGGATTAGACCGGGCTATGGATATAGAGGTAGGAATCGGCGAGAGAGGAGATAAGGTGGTAATGTGGAGGTTGAGACGAGAGATAGGTTTAGTAACACCTGCTCAAGAATGAGTGGTCATAGGATGAGCCGAAGGAGGTGGGTTGGGCGGAGTGGGTGATGGTGGATTGTGTTGTGGGTCTTCGATGTTAGGTGTAGAGGTAGATGGGGTTAGTGTGTTGGTGGTGGGAATGGCGGATGGTGTGGTGGTTGGAGCAATGGGAGTGGGTGTCGTCTTGGAGCTGCGAGTATATGTTAAGATAGGGGGTTGGGAGGGTGGTTTAGTGACAGGTGGTTGATTTAGGGAATCATGGGAAGATGATGATGTTGAGAATGGAAAAGAGTGAAGTGGTGGGTCGTCAAGGAAGTCATATGATGTCAAGGTGTTGGTGTCGGCAAAAGGAAATGAGGTCTCGTCAAAGGTGACATGATGAGATAAATGAACTTTGCCTGTTGAGGGATCATAGCACCGATAACCATGAAAGTTTTCAGGGTAACTAAGGAACACGCATTTTATGGAGCGAGGTTGAAGTTTGTGAGATTGAGTGGCAGAAATGTTGGGATAGCAGTTGCAACCGAAGGTGTGAAGATAATCGTATGTAGGTTTACAACCATAAAGAGAGAAAGCTGGTGTAGCGAAGTTGAGTCGTTTGGTAGGAAGGATATTATGGAGATATGTGGCCATATGGAGTTCTTCGACCCAAAAGAAGTGGGGAAGTGAGGCATGAGTAATAAGGGTGCAGATGATGTCATTGAGATGACGAATCATCCGTTCAGCTCGTCCATTTTGTTGAGATGTCTGTGGACAGGAAAAGTAGAACACAAGACTGTTAGAGTCGGCAAAGGATTTAAATTCTTTATTATTGAATTCACCACCAATATCACATTGGAATGTTTTAATGGTACGGTTAAATTGAGTTTGAATGAATTTATGAAACTTTTTAAAGTTGAGAAATGTGTCTGATTTGAATTTGAGAGGGTATACCCAGACATAGTGAGAGAAGTTATCTATAAGAACCATGTAGTATTTGTAACCTGATTTGCTCAAAACTGGAGATGTCCAAAGGTCACAATGTATAATATCAAATGGTGCATAAGTTAAAGAATGTGAATCATAAAATGGCAATCTTATATGTTTAGATAACTGACAAGCATTGCATAAAGTAGAATGCATAGCTTTATTACAACTAATAGAAAAACTAGAACAAAGCAAATCTAAAACAGGAGCCCCTGGATGACCCAAGCGAGTATGCCAAGAATCCTGAGAGGAGGTGGTAAGTAGGGCAGACGGACAAGTTGAGGGTGTGAAATGATAGAGATCACCCGTGCTATCATGATGAGAAAGAAGAGCTCCAGTCTTGAGATCCTTAATAGAAAAACCAGAGGGGTCAAATTCAACCAAAGCTTGATTATCAATAGTGAATTTACAAACAGATAATAAATTTTTTATGATGGTTGGAGTAAATAGAATATTTTTAAGACATAGAAACGAGAGTGGGTATAGTGAGTGGTGTAGCCTGACCCGTGAATTGGAAGACTAGACCCGTTACCAATGAAAAAAGAAGTTATAGGAGAAGTTGGCATGAGACTAGATATTTTACCTGGATCTGATGTAAGATGTGTTGAAGCACCTGAGTCCATATACCAATTCTGATCAATAGGATTTAGGTTGACCTGCTGCATTGTTTGAGCTAAATCTGATGGAGTGTAGTCTGAATAACCGAAAAATAGTGGGTTAGGGGTTGCAATAGGTGTTGTTGAAGGTGGGATCGGAGGTTGACCAAGGGACCCATGCTGCAATGTGTGACCATAAACGAGGTTGTGTGCAAACGAGTTATTCTCCCAGTGAGTCCTTGGATGGTTATTTCCCTGTGATGGATATGGGGATGGTGGCGGGTTCCATTGTTGTAAATAGTTCTAGTTGTATTGGTTACCTTGGTTCCAATCTTGCTGCTAACCACGACCCCCCCCCCCCGGCCTCGAGGGTTACGGCCGCAGCCACGCCCATACCCACCACGTCCTCGGCTATTGCCCAGTTGTTGTCTACTGTCCGAATAGGGATGATAAGAGGGGGTCTGATTGCGGTTAGCTTGAGCAGCCCCTGTAAGGTTTTTCTGTAATCGATCATCAGAAACAGGCAAGGGCTTTATGTGATTGGTTTTGTCGGGCGTTTTTTCGGTGTTGCTCTAGTTGTAACATACTACGAGCTGTCTCCCAAGATGGAGAACTTTGATTGATATATGTCCCTACAACATCAAATTCAGGTGGTAAACCTCGAACCATCTGTAGAACAAGTCTTGATTCGGTGACCGGGTTATCGATATCTTCGAGTTGATCAGCCAAATCTTTGAGTTTCTGACAATAAGCCTCCATTGATGAACATGTTGCCAAATTAAGATTAAAAAATTCTTGTTCAAGTGTTGCTGCTCGTGAACCCTTGTTGTTGAGGAAGTTTGCTTTGAGCTTGTTCCATGCTGCTTGAGCCGTGGTATCACTTTCCAGAATACGAACCATTAGATCATCAGATAAAGTGTTGTAAATCCATTGTAAAACAAGGGCTTCGATCTTAACCCATTGGTCGTACCCAGGGTCAGTTTCAACAGGGGCTTTCGTTCCATTAATGTGGTCCAGGACCTTGTATGCTAGGGCATGAAGGCGAAAAAGCTTGGTCCATGAAGAGTATGTTACCTTAACACCATCAAGAGTTCTAATCTTTGACTGAACGTTCGTCACAGTGTATGCAGGGTGCAGAGCCGTGGCCTTCACTTCACTAGATCCGGAATCATATTTGCCCATGAAGAAACCTTCGATTTCAGCAGATGAATGGATTGAAAATTTTTAGGGTTGCAGATGAATATATCGATTTTAGCAGATGGAGATGGGTAGATCACATGATTTCAACAGATGAAGAAGAATGAAGTCATAGCTTGGGTTGAAGCAGGGAGGCGATAATTTTAGGGTCCAAGCTGTGATACCATAACAGTTAATATGGTAAAATTGTATCCCGTACTTTCATTGAATAAAGATCCCATATATATATATATATATATATATATATATATATATATATATATATATATATATATATATATATATATATATATATATGGGAAAAGTGAATATACCCTTAAGGGTATATAAGCTTAGGTACCCAAACACATTATAATACGTCATTTCGTTTGATATATTCATTATAATATTCTTAAACTTCAACTCTAACTTGATTTGCTTTCAAGATATTTGAAAATTCACTATTATCATTCTCTTACATCACATATTTTTACCCAACACCTACTAGGCTATATATATTGTAGTTGAAAACGAAAATTACGTAAGAGGATGATAAATGTGTAAATTATAAAAATCTTGGAAGTAAATTAAGTTAGAAGTTAAATTATAAGAACATTAGACAATTATAATGTATTATATGATATAAAACGACGTAGTATGGTGAATTTGGGTACCTTAGTTTATATACCCTTAAGGATATATATATATATATATATATATATATATATATATATATATATATATATATATATATATATATATATATATATATATATATATATATATATATATATATATATATAGAGGAGGTACATATACAAATAATTAGGAAAGGATATATACAATAATAAAATAATCTCCTAAATGTATAACAATATTCTAATCGGCTAATATCCATAAGGTAAATGAATCGGGAAATAGAACCTTACTTTTCCTACTATGTATGTTGTAAGAATTTGGGGTGAAATACATTGTAGTAATGATTAAAAAAAACATTTATTACATAAGTATATATCCTGTAATCATTTTCCTTGAAATTTATTTGCTCAGGATAATATGACAATAGACATTTAACTCCTTTTACCAGTACCATCAACGTGACCTAGCATTCATCACTTGGTATGGAATACTTCAAAATAAAGTTGATCAACATTCTAAAGCTAATATTCCAGGCTATAGAGCGTCGTTTGTTCATAAATATATAAAATATTTATATTTTCAAGTTATTTTCTTGTTTGGATAGTATTCTAAACTACAACATCTTATTATTACATTATTTTATTGAAAAAATAATTGTTGTTAGCGTTGACATGGATTAAAAATGAACATTGGCACTAACATCGCGATAGCAAAAAGTGTTCTAGATATATACCAAATAGTTAAACATATGCCAATACAAAATTTACATTTCTCATAACCATATAGAGTTTGATTTATATTATCATATATTATATACATCTGACTGATATGATATCTCCAGATCTTCCAAAAAGGTTCACCACTGGTCGAAGACGTGTCAAGGGTAATCGCTAGAATAAGATTGGATAAAACTCTAGAAAGTGTGGAAAACACATGGTTTGGAAATCGATTATCTGTTCTCTCCCGAAATTCTACAATGCCCCAGGCCTTAAAGCTTGATAGATTTGGTGGTCTTTTTATTATTAGTGGTATCACTTGTACTTTAGCTCTTATGATGTCTATACTTCATCAACTTCATGGGAAAATGGAGGTCTACAGTATCATTTCAGTTTTAGTTGGTCGCAATTTGATGGCTACTATAAGGCATCTTTTGTATAGAAATGTTGTGCAAACATGACTAACCACTTAACCAGTTCTTATATTCATGCAAACATTTCATTTCTAACCATGTTGTTGTTTATACTATTTACTTCTGTTTTAATTTTATATTAGTGATAAATGGTTACAATGACTGATTGTTGACATTATTTGTCACCATTCAGTTAGGTTTTTTAGAGGACCGCAACATCCCACCATATAATAAGATTAGTCACTTGGCTATACCATATATCAATGGTGAAATATCAAGTTTATTGATTAAGTTTATTAGAAAAACATTTGATGATCGTAACCATGTTATTACTTTATTGATGAAATCTATGCCAATGACAAGTGTCAAGTGTGTGCATTTTCTAATACTTTATGATCATGTAGTTTGATACTATTTTGTGTAAAAGGGCTATTCACCAAATTCGATGACAGTTTTTGATGTCCTAAACGAAAAGTTTGTCGGTAGCAGCCACTTTCAACTTATGTCCCATCATTGATGGTGAGGACAATGTTCACCAAGCATCTGCAAGTCGCTTTTAGACTATTTACAAAAGATGCACTGTTGGGGACTTAAGGTTGTTGCATGTTGAGATTGAATAAGCATCTTCTCTTATATATTTTGAAAAAGGACATTTATCATAAGTGAATTAATTATAAACACAAACAATTACTTATATGTCAGCTCTGGTAGTAAAATTTATCCATCTTTCGGTAAACGGCAAGATATCATTAAGGCTGCATGGTATGGGCAACGATAATGGGTGTTTTTCTAACGTGGACACCAGAAAATGGCTGAAAACACCGTTAACACGCTGGAACATGCGTTTTTTGGTGTTATGTTGCAACGCGTTGTTATGGTAACGAAAGGCAACAACTACTTTCCTTTCTTCTTCCTCTGTGTTTTTTTCTTGCTTAACCTTACAACGGCATTTTCATGGACAAACACGACCCTCTTTTGGCATTTTCCGGTGCAATGTCACATAAACGAAAGTGGGCATTGCCCACACCTTAAAACCTAAAACTTAGCAACGTACAAGTCAAAAAGGAGAATTATATAAGTTTTATTGCATTAAATGGATTTTATGCTTCTTAATACTACACTACAAGAAATACGAGTATTAGCGGCAACGCCTTTAGCAGCAACAACCGCTATTAGCAACGACAACCAACATTCGCATTGGTTGTCGCCGCTAATACTCTTTGACCACGATCCACGTGAAATTCCAAGATTACACCCTACCCGTCGATCTTGTTGCAAATCCAACGGCTTGAACGTTTTTTCGTACATCAGCGACACCAATGGTGACGACGATCTCACCGCTAATACTCAAAACACATGGCGCTATTAAAATTGAGTAACTATACAAATATACAATCAAAGATAGTTGCCTTTTTGGTTTCTTCGTTCCAAAGACTGTAATATTGTGAAAGTTCCCAAAAAGTAATCAAATGTCACGACTTAAAGACATTTTTTTGTAAGAGGTCGTAGCTATTTTGTATGTAGGTGCATGGGTTCTAAGACCTATCTATTTTTTATTAATATTAGTAATAAGATACCATATATGAAAAAAAAAAAAAAAAAAAAAAAAAAAAAAAAAAAAAAAAAAAAGTAAGTGACCTACCTTATTAATTTGAAGGACCTATCTTATAATTAATCTTTACAAAAAAATTTATCAACCCATATTTTATATATTCTAATCCATTTAAAATACTCTAATGCCTCAATTCATTTACAATTTGTTCATGTAGGTAATAGTTCAAATATCTAAAATTAAACACAAAAAAAAAAAAAAAAAAAAAAAAAAAAAAAAAAGATTCATGAAACATGATCACTAATCGACATCTACAATGGCTTAACGCTTCATCATGTTCTCCTCGACCAGATCGATTGATCCCACTGTATGTCACTCGGCCAGGCCACCGGCCACCGTCCTCCCCTCCACCTCCCCCGCCCACGCCACTATGTTTTGTCTGTATTTTATCTATTTTAGATTTTCAATGATATTTTAATATCGTATAGTGAAAAAAAAATTGTCTAGAAAATATGATAACGATATAATTATAAATATATTTCAAAATATAAGACCCCGTAAGGTTCGGTGTACGAACTTTATTGTAACTAGTTTAGGTATGTTTAAATATTTTAAATCATACGACCCGACCCAACCCGACTAGTATTTTTTTTACTCTTTCATTTTTCTAGTTTCATTTACATAAGGCTGGAGGGAGTGGTGCCACAAGAATCGCACTCCCTCCTTTGACATGTCGAAGCCACATCATTTTCACCACACAAAGTGTGGTTCTTTACCACATCCAGAGAGTGGAAACTATGGTAGAGAAAGAGAAAGGTGAGAGAAAGACACATGAATAAAGAGAGAGAGAGAGAGAGAGAGAGAGAGAGAGAGAGAAGAAGAAGAAGAAGAAGAAGAAGAAGAAGAAGAAGAAGAAGGGTGCGGTATTTTTTGGGAGAGGTGCGGCCAAACCGCATAGAGGGGACGGTGTTCCTGCCTATGTGGCATTGAGTGCGACCTAAACCGCACTCCACTCCCTTAAGCCTAAGGAACCATGTGGTTTTTTGTTCTACGTTCGCTACTGTTTGTAAGAAGCTAATCTCTAACCGATTCATCCACTCCATGTATTTCATATAATTGTTAAATTCCTCCCATCAAGATTCTACCATTTTGCTAGTTAATTCTAAATCTCAGTTGTACGATGGAAATAAACAATATATGGTTCACTTACTATTGGAACCATAAGTGTTATAAAAAAGAGTATCATACAAGGTTTTGTTTACCCATAAGGGAGGAGGGAGTCGTTCTTTTCCAACCTATTGAACTCACTGTCACATCAAATTTTATCTCTTCTTTTTTTTCATCTTTTCCAACCCACAACACACGGAAATCCTATCTTTCTCAACTCACTCAATTAAAAAAAAAATACAAAACAACTAAGGTACAAGTTTTAAAACACATGGTATAAGAGAAAGTAGAGAGTGGTGATGAAATGGGTTAGTGAAACCAATTAACTAACTCGTTGAAACGGGAGTGGTACTGTCGGTAACTCTATTGCTAATTAAGATTTTACCTTTGATTGTTTTGTATTTTTTTTAATTGAATGGGTTGAGTGGGTTCAAAAAGATAGGGTTTCCGTGTGTTATGGGTTGGGAAAGATGAATAAAAATAAAAGAAAAAAAGTGATGTGACAAGTGGGTTCAATGAGTTGGGAGGGAATGACTCCCTCCTCCCTAACAGATGATAGTAGGTTTTTCTCTGTTCCTTTTGTCCGTTGGGTAAACGGGTGGTTTTGTCGTCTCCGACGAGTGCAAACGCCAGCAGACCATCGTTGCTCTCCGTGAATTATCTGTATCTTGCATCCAGAGCAGTTTCTCTCGATACACCTGGTCTCTCTTCTCTTTAACTATCGTGTAACATGTTTATCCGTTGGGTAATAGACTTCAAAGTGGATCACTCAATAAATCAAAATTGAAAACGGAATCAATGTCATTAGGGTTTTGACGATGATTTTATACCATTAGCATCTCAGGCAGTGTCTGATCAACGTTTTTTGGTTGGTATCGGCTAATTAGAAGCCGGAGTCTTCTCCTCTGTTTTGCATTCTTCTTTTTGCGTTGGATTTCGTCATGGTTCCTCGACAACAACATGTACGAGATCATAACCGTTCTTCGTCTTTCGAAATGTAGGTTTCTAATATTTCATATAATGTGTATGTAACTGATTTCCCTAAGCATTTGACTCACCAGGAACTATGGAATGTATGTTCAAAGTACGAGACTATTACGAATGTTTTCATTGCTAAGATATTCTCAAAACTTGGGAACCCTTTTGTGTTTGTTGGTTTCATTAAGGTTATAGATGTGGAACTGTTAATTGCAAACTTGTGCACTATCTGGATTGGAAAGATTAGATTATACGCAAACTTGGGACGTTTCGGTAGAACCAATAAGGCTACTAATAAAATTGATGGGAACACGAATTATCATGGCAAACCACCTATAATGGGGAGTGTGGATCACTGAATAGATAATACTAGGAGGTATGTGGATGTTCTTACTGCTGAGCAGGTGCATAATAAGTCATCTTCTGGGGATGATGTAGCCACAATTGTTTTGGTGACAAATGGAAAGATGATGAAGAAGTTGTCTTCAGCTTTGGTTGGGTGTCTTAAGGATTTCCGATCCTTGTCTAATCTTTGTTTCACTTGCACTAAAAGGATTTCTAGGAGTAAAGATAAATTTTCTTGGAGGTTTTTGGGTTTTAATTTCTTTTGATTCCATTCAAGATCGTGAAATTTTCCAAAGTCATGGAAGTACTAATTCGCGTGTGGTTTTCTGTATTGAATCCATGGACAAATGGTTTTTTTATAAAGGAGAGGGTGGCTTAGATTGATGTAGAAGGTGTCCTGATTAAAGCATGGGGTTATAAATCTTTTGCAAAGATAGAAACTATGTGGGGTGAGTTATTATACATTGATGATCTTAAAGGCTCTACTTTATATGGGAACCGGCTTTGCGCGAAAAGAACTTCTTCTTAACCAATCATGGAGACGATTAAAGTGATTCTTGAAGGCGATGTCTTTCTTATTTGGGATAAGGCAGTAAGTTGTTGGATTCTGGATTTTGTAGATGATACGATTACTTTAGAAAAGGAATATAATAAAGGCCCTCCTAGCCATGGTGAATCAAAAAGCAATGATTTCCAAGGCGATGGTTATGTGTCGGAGGACAGGGAGAATTCAATGGTTGATGAGGAATTAAATATTCCGATAAATCAATCTAACTTTGGTCATGCAAAGTTGTTTAATGATGACCCCTTTTGGTTTGGATGAATTATTGTGTAAGAAAAATGTATCTTTTAGTTCCCACTCAGAGCCTTCTCACCCACTGGGCTTTACACCATCTTCCTCAAATAATAAATGAAGTAGAAGTAGAAATAATACCCATGTAGTTGATCCATTTAAACATTTAAATGCAGCTCATCCAGAAGCCTCGAATTTCACTATTGGTCAGACTTGTGTGAGGTCTCCTGTGGCAGTGGCTCGGCAGGGTCCATCTCCTTCGGTTGATGGTGCTACCTCGTTAGCAAATCTTTTTGGGAAAGAAGATATTGAATCTGATCATGTAACTACTGGTTCATTTCTGGGATCTAAAGGTCCTAGAAATTGTTTTTCTATGTTTCACGAGTTGTCTACGACTATTGGTGTAGGGTGTGCGAAGGGTTATTTTAGGAAAGGGTAGGAAAAGGATTTACGGGGTATTTTGAAGAATTTTGGTGAAAATGGTAGTTTTAAATGAATGGTTTATCCATGAATGTTCAAGGATTAAGTCAGCAACCACAGAGAAGATGGGTGAAAGAGTTACGTATAAAAAAGTTGTATTAATATTCTGTCTATTCAAGAAACGAAGATGGTTCGATTGGATTTGTTTTTAATTAGAAGTACATAGGGAAATATTCATTTTTATTTCACTTCGATTTTGGCTAGGGTTTCTTAGAGGTATTCTTTGTGTGTGGGACCCGACAAAGTTTATTATATATCGCATTTTGTCTACCACTAATAGTGTCATAGTGGATGGGATGTGGGTACTTACGGGTTATTCACTTATGATTATTTCGGTGTATGATCCTCCTCAAGGTGTTGGTGAAAGGAGAGCTTTATGGGATTATTTTTCTAATGCCATTCCGAGATGGCGTGATGAAGTAATCGCTCTCGGTGATTTTAATGAAGATCTTCCTAGCACGCACTTCCATAACTCAACTATAAATAGAGGGCAGTGTCATTCCATTTCTGCACACCTCTTTAGTCTCCCTCTCACTCTCTACTTCGAAGTTGTTGCTCCCTAGGTGGTTCCCTAGAGTCCCAAGCTTGATCTTACCCTACACCAGTGGTTTCAAACACCCAGGGTCCTCATTTTACTATTTTAAAAGTTTTCAAAGGGGGAATACATGTTATATTTAAACTACTTTATAAAAATATATTTTGTAAATATATTAGTAGTTTTATAAGCACATATACCTTTAGGATGATATATAGATACCATTTCTAGATGTAAGCTATGATATTATGCCTAAGCGTTATGATGTCCAATGGTCTAGGAAATGATTGTACCTAGATGTTATGCTAGCTAAATTCCTAAGATAACTTAGTACCTAGAGGATATATTGATCAAATTAGTAGGATATGCACTATATTTAGTTGTTACTCTACCGAATATCTTGTTTTCAAAATAAACATAATTATAGGGTATATATATATATATATATATATATATATATATACACACACACACACACACACACACGAAGAAAATTATGAGATAAATAACAATTATCATATATAATAAAAGTATATAGTGATAATTATGAAGAGTTTTTTATAAAATAAAAGATTCAAAGATAAGATAAAATACCCAAGGTTAAAGTGTTAGTGAGCTTAAACTAATTCATCCTTTAGCCTTGATAAAATTCAGCTACCCCGTCCTATAATCGTTAATCTTAAAGAGATCTGGAAAGATATGTATACATCTATACGGGGTTTGATACCCCCAACTGCGATCGCTAGCTACAATCCCAGCAGGATACTTTTCTTTAATCAATTAATATTACAACGTCCGATGAAGCGTCGTGCGAGGTTATTATAAGTATACAACATTGATTATAGAGGCTCGTGGTAATGCGATTAACAACCTACTACCAAGAGGGACACCTTTGCGTAGTTAAAATGTTAAGATATCCTAGGATAAGATAGATCTAGGAAAACTAAAACACCCGAAAATACTTAGGAGTTTAGGATTCTCAAATAACATAATAAAATGTTTTAAAAGAGATTATTCCAAAAGAAAAGGATTTTTAAATCTAAAAGATCATATAAAGCAGAAAAGTAATAAAAAATCTATGAACTCACCAACATCCTATTGAATTTTCAAAATACATGTATTCTCAGGGAGATAAGTGTAAAGAACGGGCAGGCAGAAGAAGGAGTCGTCACGGAAGAATGTTGGAAGCTGTTTATGTTTTTTCTATGTTTAATTTTGTTTAAGATGTATACTTGGTCTACTAAAACAATGTAATCCCTACATTAAAATAAATAAAACAATCGTTTGTAATATACTTGTTTATAATGTTCAATATATCTGATTGTCGAGATCGAGTTAACCCCACATCGCATTGTCTGGTGTTTCCGCCGCCAGCTGGCTAAGGTGTGACAAATTGGTATCAGAGCCCCAGGTTAAAGCGAATTAGTATAGCCTTAGGAACTACGACTATAACCTAGGACTTATACTCTAAACTAGTTAAATCTAATAAAAAGTAAAATTACTAATTAACATACGGATAGAATACTGAAAGGAGAGGTGTCTAGTTTGAACTATCACTTGGGTTGTTGAATTTTAGAACAACTTTACGCCAAAATGGTCCTACCCTCCGATACTTCTCATCTCTTTGATCCCTCCATGATAGTCTTGAAGTATAAAATATAGGATTAATAAAATACACAAAACCGAACATAACAAGATATAGAGTTATATACGAACTCATAAAAATCTACATGGTTACCCAAAACCAATATCCATTAAATCATAAACTCAAGGTTTTAGAGCCGAAAACCATACCTAGGGTTAATATAGTACTGCGTCCGTACCACAACTACAATTGGAATGCACACTAAGTTTGATTATGGTCCGACCAACGCACACTTAAACTTGGATATGGTAGTTGGCAAGCTAAGCACTTGAGGATTTATGGATTTGCGTCATAGTTTGACTAGCCGGGATCCTTAGATAGAATTAGTACCACGCTCATTACATGAGGATACTACCCATAGCTCGAGGATGATGATCTAGAGGCGCTTATGCGACATACCCCTCGTAGAGAAAATTGAAGTAGATCCGGTACTATCATATATATATATATATATATATATATATATATATGTATGTGTGTGTGTGTGTGTGGAGGATATTTGGGAGTGGCTATATCATTCTTCCCCGAGAGAGTGATATGGATGTGCCACTGTCACACCCCACTAAAGCGGAAACACAAGACGCGACAGTACAAAGGGTATCATAACAAATGTTAAAAGACAACACAAACCATAGTATTAAAAGCATTACAATTTACAATGAGTTTGAACAATTTTTAAAAAATTACAATGTATTTGGAAAAAAAACAACCCATGTAAATGTTCTTACAAATGATGTATCCCTAAGTGTCATCTTATAGATGTGTTCTAGAAAAAGCATGTAAAATGAGCAATCAACTACCGAAACAGTTGGTGAGTTCACAAGTTTACAAGATAAAAGATTTATAAGTAAAGAACTTCAGTTTTTGGAAATAAGTGTGATAATTAAAAGTTCATTGCTAAGATGAGTAAATAAAGTTCATTGTTATCATGCGAAATAAAGTTTGCTATTATCATAAGAAATAAAGTCTGATGCTAACATGAGAAAAAAAGTTCATTGTTATCATGAGAAATAAAGTTCGTTATTATCATGAGAAATAAATTTTGATGCTAACATGAGAAACAAAGTTCAATGTTATCATGAGAAATAAAGTTTGTTATTATCATGAGAAATTAAGTTTGATGCTAACATGAGAAACAAAGTTCATTGTTATCATGAGAATTAAAGTTGACTATTATCATGAGAAATAAAATTTGATGCTGACATGAGAAACAAAGTTTATTGTTTTCATGAGAAATAAAGTTCATTATTATCCTGAGAAATAAAGTTCGATGCTAACATGAGAAGCAAAGTTCATTATTATCATGAGAAATAAAGTTCGTTATTATCATGAGAAACAAAGTTCAATGCTAACATGAGAAACAAAGTTGATTGTTATCGTGAGAAATAAAGATCGATGCCAACATATGAAACAAAGTCCGTATATGCAAAGTGATCAACCTATGAGTTCACAACCCAAGCCTAATGACCGAGGGGTGCCCTCTTGAATACTATGTTTATCGCTAACATAGGGCAAAATATGGTTAAATGCACACTGCGAATTACATGAGTGAGTAGTTGTTTACCTCCTAATAGCGTTATCCATAATGAACATGGGCTTAAAAGAGTGAATGAGTTGTGTGAAATGATTCCAGGGACTTGACCGCGATACAAGCCTCGTGAATGAACAATTGCAAGCACATACATAGAAAATCACATTTGATACAATTTAAACTAAGTACAACGATCATAATTGTATAAACGACATGCTTTTCCACCCAAAATATTAAAAACCGAAAATAGGGGCCTTGAATACTGACAACTTATTTCATGATGATGTTAACGATGCCTTGAACTAAATTATGCTCGTACCACTATCGATGTTCTACAATAATGGTATACGCTAGTGAGTCTCTAATCAAAATCTAATACTAGTATACTTTATCTTATACAATAGAATTATGCCAATAATGTCTCAAAATTTTGATATTGATAGGTTACAAACATTTGTGAAATTTAGCTTTCTATAAATCAATTTTTTATATAACAAATTCAAGTGGAAATTCTCATTATGGAAATGTTAAAATTTAACATTTTAGGAGGTGTTCCAATGATTAAATATTTGTAAACTAAATCAATTTATCTCTAAATTTTACCAAACTTTTTATTTTAGTTTTGACTGAAGTCAAAGCTCTTAAGATAAATTTTCTTAAATTTTTTATTTATCTAACTATTTTTTACCCTTTTAATTCTTTGAATAATCACAAAATCATGGAAAAGTAGTAAATGATCATGACAAATTCTTATAATTTTGTAATTGTTTCATACTATCTTTGAACTGGAAAAAGTATTAAATGCCACTTTTGATCAATAAAACCTGGTTTTTGAAATTTAATTATGTTATACATCAAGAAATTCTAATTAAATAGAAAATAGCAATTAAAAATCATAAAACCTTTTATTTGTGTTCCAATTGCAGTCAAACACTTCCAAAAAAATGTTTCACCAATTTTAGATATGTATAACTATTTTTCGCATATTTAACAACTTGAATCATCACAAGTTTCTAGAAAAATAGTAAATAGTTAAGCAAAATTATTAATCTTTCTATACAAGTTGTATACAATATATATATATATATATATTATATATATATATATATATATATATATATATATATATATATAGAAAAATAGTAAATAGTTAAGCAAAATTATTAATCTTTTTATACAAGTTGTATACAATATATATATATATATATATATATATATATATATATATATATATATAAGTTAGAAAGAATATCAAAAGTGATTTTCAAATAGTGGAGTCCGATTTTTGGATTTATGGATGTTTAATCTTAGGAAATTGGAAATAAATAGAAAACCTTAAAAATAATTCGTCAAACTTTTTGGGTAACTTATTTACAATATTTTGAAGCTAGGAAAAATGATCAATGAACTTTGTAAACTGTAAATATTAAGCAGAAAAGACAAATTGATAACAAACTTTATTTGAGATCCTATGGTAATAGAAGAGGTCTGGGAAATGTGTCATGAATTATGGATAAGTGAAACAATTTTTATCAATTTAACCTCTTAAACCTTCATTAAACCTAGGAAAAATAAGAAATATTCAAGGAAAAATCTGTAAATTTTTTTAGGGAAGTTTTATAATGTCCATAAGGTGTGAAATTTATCAAAAATAGCTTTCAACATTCACAACTATATTTTACCATTCATTTGTTCTCAACAATAACAAAATCCAAATAAATAGAAAGTGGCCATAAAAATGCATGCGCCTTTATAAATTGTCTTTATTTAAGGTGTAGGTCATCCCAAAATTTTCCCAGAATTTATTAAGCTTCAAAAGTATTTTATGTGAATTATTGCTCTATTTTCTTGA